AAAAAAAACTATCTGCATAAGATAATCTTACATGTTCTATCTCCTGATAGACTGGATTATTTGTCCCAAGTCCTCACACTATCCTTGTAAGAATTATACCTCAACATACTTTGGTACTGAGAATTCAATGCCTGTCACTAACACAGGCAAATTTATATTTTCCAAGATAATGACTTGGGCTTGAAAATGTGGGTTACTTTGGCTAGGAAAATCAAAGTACATGACACAAGCAGAAGCTTTAATGTATTTGTATAGTTTCACTTGCCTTCCTGACATCTGACATATACCATGAATAAAACATGATCTGGAGTGTACGGAATCTTGTACAATAGACATTAAAATTACACAAAGGTAACAATGCACATACTTTGAACATTAACCACCAGCAAATTTTAACCTTACTGAAATATAGGCCTATCTTAGCCAGAGCATCTTGTATTTCAAGAGAAAGTATAAACCCCAAAGTTTTTAGTTAGTGTGATTTTTTGAACATTATAAAATTGTCTGTGATTATTAAGTTTTAATAAACCTTTAAATTTTAGAATACATTTAAAGTTACCAAAAAAATGAAAATTCAACATGAATTTCCATATACTTCACACTCAGTTTCTACCATTATTTCTATCTTTCATGAGCATGGTACATTTGTCACAGTTAATAAAGGAACATTACTATTAGTTAAAGTCCATGATTTATTCAAATTTCCTGTTTTTCTTAGATGTGTTTTTCCTGTTCAAAGATTCTGTCCTGAATTTCATGTTACATTTAGTAGCCATATCCCCTTAGACTTTTTCTTGTTTCTGATGACCTTGAGAGTTTTGAGGATTATAGGTAAGGTATTTTGAAGAATGTCCCTTAATAGGAATTTGTAAGATTTTTTTTTTCTCGTGGTTAGATAGAGGAAATTCGTTTTTTAAGAAAGACTAAAGAGCTAAAGTGCCATTCTCATTAGATCATAGCAAGGGTATAATAATATCAACCTGAATTATTACTGTCTATGTTAACCATGAGCATCTGGCTTAAGGTAATGTTTATCAGGTTTCTCTACCTGATAAAGGAAATCTTTATTAGGTTTCTCTCTCTCTAAGACAGTAAGATAAAGTTACTCTTTATTTTCAATCTTTACTATACAGAAAAAGTCACTTAAGAACTGTGGTTTATGTTCCAGCTCATTAAGAACACAGCATTTTCATAAATTATTTGAATTTTTTTTTGTATGGGGTATTTGTCTATACCCCTCCACTTATTTATTTATACAATCTCTTGTTTACATTAGCAAAGACACAACACATGAATATTTACATTATATTTAGGTTTTAATCATCAGTTTATAATTTTTTATTCAAATTGTTCCAACTTTGGTCATTGGGGGGCTCTTTCAGTTAGTTCCTATGTCCTTTTGACATGTTTTTGTTTGTTTATTTGGTTTTTATTAGCACTCCCTTGCTTTCTAGAACCATGAGATATTCCAGGTTCATTTTGTGTATTTCTGCCTCAGTCCTAGAATCCAAGGAGTTCTGATTTCATTTATTGGAGAGTGGTGTTAGCAATGAAGATCTGGGTGTTAGTAATGTTTGTTGTTCTGGGGTCTTATTACATCTAGATCCACTGAGCTGGCAGAGGAAGAAAACATGCTCATTAGATATACTCACAAACACACATATACGTGTGAATATCTATACGTGTGTATATCTATATGTATGTGTACATATGTGTATATCTATATGTGTGTGTATATACACACATCTATATGTGTATACATCTATATGTATATATATCTATATGCATTTGTATATCTATATGTTCATGTCTTCTTTGTCAGCTCAGTGGATCTACATGAAATAAGACCCCAGTAACAACAAATATTAATATGTATGTATATCTATATCTGGTTACATATATAAATATGTAAACATCCATTATCTATTTTAAGCTGCATGTGAGTTTATACTGGTATCTGTAACTCTGATCCATTATTATGGTAACTATTCTGGCCTCCTTTACTTGCCATCCCTTTCCAATAGATAAAAGATTTGCTTTGTCCATCTCCCGTTAATTTACTTCATTGCTTGATTTCAGTACCTATACCTAGCAGTTTCAGAATTAACATGCACCCTCCTGGAAAAACAACTTTATCAACTAGACTATAGTTCTCACGTACAATTAATATTCCATTTAGCCTTACAATCTGTACTCATTTCCAAAGTTATTTAGCTATTTCGGTCAAATTATTGATCTCTCAAAGAACTAGCTTTTGGTTTTCTTGATTTTCTTTATTGTTTTCCTGTTTTCATTTCATTGGTTTCTGCTTTAATTTTTTTTTTTAAATTTTTATTTTGTCAATATACAAT